TATTACGAAGTTTCGGTAAAAGACTTGCGAGGAGAACCCACACATGACTGATCCTGAGCAACTTCTCATAACCGTTTTAATTTTTGACTGAAAAAATTGATTATTAAAGAAGGAGTATTTCGGTTTTCGCTAGTTGTTATCATAAAAATTAACAAGATAAATCCTAAAAATAATTATTGAGAAAATCTATCTGACTGATATCGAAATAATATTAATAAAAGTTTAATTACAAATAAAATTCTGTGAGGACATGAGAGGCCTCTTCCGCCCCTGCGCGTCTCAGCGACTCTTCCTGCTGCGCCTGCTGCCGGAGGAGTCCGCCGTCCTCTACATGGACAGCGATGTCATCTTCCTGCGCCCGCCTGAAAAACTCTGGCAAATTTTCAACGAGTTCAATGAGGAACAATTTGCTACAGCTGCAGCTATCAATGGACCTTACAATTACATTCGTTTCTAGTTTAAGGTGAAAAATATGGTTTTAAAAAGGAATGAGAATTACTGCAGTTCGGAGCTACTATACAGCTGTTTTGTGGAACCATACAAGCACATACGAGAAGAAAACAAAGGAGCAAGTTGCACTGAATGGATGTGTATGACACATTAGCATATACGGCCTGAACATGGAACTTGATTTTGTCAACAAAAGTGTACTCTTGACTGCCGATCGGTAGAGTCATGGCTGTGATGCTTCTGCGACCATCATTAATTAAACCAGTGTCGATGTCTTCAGAAAAATCTAGAAAAAACTCGAAAATAACACCTTCAATGAAAATGATCACGAGATGAAGAAAATTACCACGAAACGAAATCATTTGTTCTTATAAATATTTAGTTATAACCTGAATACAATGATTTGCGAAACCATAATAACATAAACGTTGATGACATTTCGCTCGTTGCTTCAGAAGCAAAAATTGAAGTGGGATATCAAAGGTAAAATGTTCGCGGTAGATTAAACCTTTGGAATCTTTGACCTGTTATATACAGGGTGCGGCGTGGGAACTTACTCTTTTAAAAAAATCACAAAGTAAAAAGTATTAAAGATAGCGTTTTAATTCTTTCTTTTTTACAAAGAGCTACATTTAAAGTTTCGTTGGGTTTACTTACAAGTTTAATTCTTGAATATTACATCTTGTAGGTGACCTCCATGCTGTTCAATACATTCAATACATTTTGTCAGACGAGATCGGAAGTTTCGCTCCACCTTCTCAAGCATGTCTGGACCAATGTCAGCAATAGCAACGCGAATGTTGTTCTTCAGTTCAGCTAGGGTCCTCGGACGATTGGTGTACACTAAGGATTTCAAGACAATCAATCGTCAGCTATGGAAAGATCGGGTTCCAAAGGCCGGATCCATTGTGAATCAAGTCACGAAAAGTTCAAGAATCGGCAACAGGCCATGGGCCTATTTCTTCAACGCCGACACTTCTATTCTATTCTATAACGTGCCTAAAGCCATAGCTGCCATTTCCCTTCACGGAAGTGAGTAAATAGGCCAAATAGCATCAAGCCATTGCAACAACAGCCGTGGTCAAAGCGCCAAACTGCAGCGTGGCTGTACTTCACGCAGCCTGGCATATTCACGGCTTGCGGCACAGAGCGCCCACCACAACAGCGCCGTTCAGTCACAGGCACTGTTTCAACAGCACCGGAGCACAACCGGCCGGAACGCAGCAGGCTCTACCTACGACGCCTTACCCCGGCCCTACTTCTAACCTAACCTAACCTATCGTAAGGCGTTGTAGGTAGGGCCTGTTGCACTCCGGCCAGTTGTGCTCCGGCGCTGTGAAGCAGTGGCTGTGTTGTGCAAAGCGGATTTACTGTCAGCCGTAGTGGTCTGCGGCTGTTAAGACTTACGGCACGAGTAAGAAGGGATGGTGTGGAGTAAAAATCTGTTGAGCAGAGCCAGATTACAATTGACTATTGGATGTAGTGGTTTGTGGAGTAAGACAGCGCTGACTTAAAGTTGGTGTGGTGATACGAGTCACTTACACACAGCTCATTGATCTGAGGCTATGTGTAGCTATTGCATGCTGATGGTTGGCGTTGGGCCCAGGGCCTGTTTACGAGTCAATTTTGTTACCCACGGCTGCGCTCCCGTTTATTTCAATTATTGTTGTAAGCCACTGTAGCTCAGCGGTTAGCACCACCGGGCTAGCGGCACCGTATTTGAGGAGCTAGCGTGAGCCTATGAAAGCTCCATTAATTTCTTAGCGGGTGTGCGGCGTTTAGTTGCCGTCAAAGGTGGTGCTTGCAGCGTGGCCTTGGGTTGATTTCCATAAGCGAACTCTGGGTATGTGGTACCTAGGAAATTTCAAGGCATTAAGGTAATGATCAGTTCATCAAGCCAACCAAAAGAAAAGTTAGTATTAGCGGAGTTCATTGGTGAGTCCCATTAGGTAAAAACAAAATAGGTTTAGTAAACTGATATCGATAAGTCGCATTCGATCCCACGAAAAACTGCGATATTGCTAATCTCGATATTTTACATTCGATACAAGGAAAAAGACCTAACTAAATCTTTATGAATGTATCTCGATACGGCCGTGAAAAGGTTTCTGTTGAGATAAAAGTCATAAAACACTGAGTTCACACTATATTCAGTAAACATGTCAAAAATACGGATTCTTTTTCTTTGGAGTAATTGCATGGTTATGCATTATCCATTTATGCATATCCATTTGCACTTACTTATTTTCCTGAAAAAATTTAAATGTATTTCGAACCTAATCTTATCAACATTTGAAGACAAAATGGCTCATAGCTTCATGTTTTTAGCGCATTTTATCATTTATGGAAAAATGCCCTATTGTGCTCGTCATGTCCATCCGTGTCCGTCTGTCAGTCTGTCCGTCCGTGACTTCACGTTTTCGTCGACGAGAAAATGCGCTCTCTGTCACTCACTGCAGTAAGTACTGAGTTATATTTTTTTAACTTGATTATGCAGTAGACACAATAGCGCAGGAAAACTTGGTATTCCTATAGATTACGTAGGTGCCGATATTTTTATTATATTTTCTAAAGGAATTACTGATGTGTTCAAGCATTCCTATTCAAGTAAAGGCCCATCGCGTCACGATGTGCTGGTGATGCAAGGGCCGTGGGCTAGCTAAATGTTAACTCTTGCACTACATATATTCCCTTCTGTTTCAAACTTGTCTAGGGTTCTATTAAACGTCGTCGACGTCAATGGTATCTTAATTATATTTTTATCGTCAGAAAACAAAGGATTGGTCTCTGCTTCACTAATCCATACAGATGGAATAACTGTTATCAATGTTATTCGTCTTTGAAGGCCTTGTATTAAGAGTTACCTTCAGCAGAGAAATGCTTACGGCGAATACTGTAAGAAAATTCGAAGATCCTTGAAAGAAGAGGCTTAGACTTCCCATCTAAATTTATTAACTGAAAGAATGGCCTCTCAGAATTAACATGGAGGCATGCAATTGAGAGAATTTTGATAATATTATTGCGAAATTAACCTACATAAATTTTATTATTTGCGCTTTCTTAGCACGCAAATTTGGAGGGGAGCTAAATGTTGAAATTAATGATGGCTACTCTCCTTTGATATAATTATGCTAATGACTACTCTATTCTTTATAGGTTTGATTTTATTATTGTTTTATATTTTCATTCATAATTCATGCTCATTTTAGTAGGCCGCGAAGAATAAGTAATTAATAACACTCGCATTTTGTTCAATGTGGTAATGACAAAGAATTTTCTAACGGGTGGTAAAATTTATTATCAATTGCGAATCGTGATGAGCCCGCAACAAAGAAACATTGAATATTGCCGTGATAATTCAGTTATTTATTAACAACTACCAAGCATGATGTTAACATTTCTGTACTTTTCAGGCTTTTTATAAAGCGTGGCAAGAACTGAACATGACGCAGCACGTAAATGAATTCCAGGCAAATTTGAGAAAAAAATTGTCTACAGCACAAAAAGATAAACGTTGCCTAGAACATGAATACATTGACCGGATTCTCTCACAGCAACTTGTTCCAAGTGAATTCTCTTAGGCTTGGTATCGATAGTTGGTATAAAATTAAGCGTGGAGACGATGCACAATTGCTTTTAACTTAGGTCTAAGAATTTTTTTCGTCAGTATATGCAATTATGAAAAAAAGCTAACTTGGTTTAAATCTTGTAATATTTTTTTCATTTTACTTTGTAGTGAAATGTAAATCGCGTTTCCATAGTTTTCGTGCGAATTTTGCACAATCATTTAAACGATTAAAATTATGCATCCTGCACCGAGTTATAGTCAGACAATTCTACAATAAACAAATTAACCCAAAAAATTATCGTTTTCTCGTGAAAGACGAATCTTAAATTTTTTTGAGCAGATCTCAAAATTCGTTCATTTCTGCATCTCATCAGTTGGGTTTCTTTTAAATAAAAACTATTCCACGAGATTTAAAGTGATTTCAATTCCTAATTTCTATGGTAACCACACAATGAATAGAGAGAAATAATTCACTGTTTCGTCATTGTGTGACGCAGATGATGAATGATTTATAGGAACGAAAATAACGAGCCAAGCAATGTGTGGCGACTGTCAATAGTTTTTTAATCTCTAAATTGTCTTTAATGCATTACACTTCGTCACGAGGTGCGGAATAAGTTATGAGTATTATATTTCTAAGAAATGTTTCATTTCTAGCTTGTTAGATGTGATTTTTTTACTCTTGATATTTGCACTGAGAGAAATTGATGGGTCTGGATGACCCACTTAGATGAGTCAACCGCTGTCCTAATAGCGATGCACTTTGCTGACTCATTTGACTGTAACAATTAAAATTGTAAAATATAGTATGAAATTCATTTACTCTTTCTTTATTCTTTAGTATTATTATTTTAGGTATCGTCGGGTCTTTCGGCCATTTCCCGTAATGAAAGGCGGCGTTAAGAAGTAAATAAATTCCTCAAATTAAGTGAAATTCAGTGCCAAATCATCGTAGTTATCACAGGTAAACACAAATTCTGAAATGGTTGAACTACTCGTCCTGCTGCCGGAGGAGTCCGCCGTCCTCTACATGGACAGCGATGTCATCTTCCTGCGCCCGCCTGAAGAACTCTGGCAAATTTTCAGCGAGTTTGACGAGCAACAGTTTGCTGCGGCCGCAGGTAACGACGGACCTGGAGACACATTCGTACTTAAAGGTGACAAAAATAACAATAAAGAGGAAATGAGAGTTACTGCATTTCTGGGCTACTACAGTTAGTTTGTGGAACCATACAAGCACATACGAGAAGAGAACCAAGGGGCAAGTACGTTGTACTGAATGGATGCGTATGATACATTAGCAATACGGTCTGACCGTGGAAATTAATTCTTTCATACGATAGTGTACTCATGACTGCCAATCGGTAGAGTCGTGGCTGTGATGCTTCCGCGACCATCAAGATACCAGTGTTTATGTCTTCGGTAAAATCTAAAAAAAACTCGAATAATAACATTTTCAATGAAAATGATCATGAGACGAAGAAAGTTACCACTAGCTGAAATCGGTTGTCCTTATAAATATTCAATTAAAACCAGAATACGATGATTTGCCAAACAGTAATAACATACGCGCTGATGACATTTCGCTCGTTGCTTCTGAAGCAAAAATTGAAGTGGGACATCAAAGGTAAAATGTTCGCGGTAGAATGAAGCTTTGGAATCTATGACCTGTTACATACAAATGACTTTCATAACAAACAGAACGTGCGTACAGCGAGGTGGGATTCAGCGTGGGTTTAATTCATGTTGCATCGAAATCTAACTAATCATTAAGAGAAACTGGGTTACTCTCAGAAAGTAACTCTCATGCATGCAGTTGACCACAGCTGCATAATTTGGAGCAAGCGGCCTCTTGTTTAACGAATAATATTCATGACGTTCTAATGAACGATGATCAAGGCGTTCTAAGCAATTAGGTTCATGATGTTTTAATGAATGAGGTTCTGATGTTTATGTGAATGGCGATCATGAACAAATTCACAAGCTCCTTTTTTGTGTGTGTTTTAAAAAAACATTCGTTTCGGACATTACAGTGCGAGTCAAGTGGATGCTCTGTTGGTATTAGACTTAATCTGCTACACCTTTTCATCCGTGGTAAATCGTTTTAATATTTGTACATACTTTAGGTTGTGTGCAATTAAGAATTCATGTAGATTGTTATTGGTAAAGGGTTGTTTGGCCCGTGTAGCAGATCAGCGATCCTTTTGGATCCTCTTGTGGGTAAAGCTTTCGTACTTCATCAGGATTAGCCGATCCGGATTTTCTTCTACGTCATAAGGGAAGTGGCTAGAAAAAATGAGTTTGAAATTCATAAAAGAATCAACCATCAAACAGTTCAACATCAATTGACTACCTTGAAATATTCAATTCAATAAATTTGTAAGATAGAATCTGACTAAAAACAACTTCATTATTTTTTTGGTCTCTCACAGAGGCAGAATGAAAAATATTTTTTTATGAGCCATTACACCGATAGGATCGATCATCTGGTATCATTACTTTTTTGAATGTGTGATTTTAATATGTATCAGGGTGACTTATAATTCCAAATCAATATCCCGCGCACCTGTTCTATCTAACTAGATCGCGGCTTCCATGGCGTGCCAGTAGCTTCGCATGAGCTACAGAAGTGACATCTTATTTTAAGCGCATTTACGATTTTCCTTGCTTATGGTGTTAATCAAATATTAGTGAATGTTTCAATATTGTAAGCATATTTAAGTGCTTCTTCATCTTCGAAGGGTAAATTTTTCACAAGAAATGTAAATTTTGCAACGTGAATTTAAATAAATTCGTTTTGTTAATACAGTAAAATTCAAAGAACCGCAAAATTTTCTATTTTGTATTGAGGTCTGGGAAACTCCTTTGCTATTGTAGTAATATAATGTTAAGCTTATATGCAGATATAGAACTATCGATATTTAATAAACTTTGATTATACTTTGAAACAATTTTAAATTATTTGCTGGGATTAGCTATATATATTTATCATACCATATATTTAATAACTTTGATATATATTTGAGATAAACTTAAACTTTGCTATAGATTTGAAATATATTAGATATTAATCTGATAGAAATTTGATATAAATTTGTTTAAAATGATACACTTAAAATATGTGTCCAACTTCCCACAGGAGTAAAAATAAGCACAGGTATTGCAAACCAAACAAAAGGAAAATGACACGGCATTCGCACAAACTAAGGGACAGCGAATCAGGTTTTATAGGAAGTTAGAGAAATACTTAATGACTGACGAGTATGAAGCTTCTGGAGACACTGATTAGTTGACGGCACAAAAACTGAAGTTCGCAAGTATCACAGATTGACGACCACCGCTCGGAACAGCTTAATGAATCTAAGAAATCTGACGAGCTTGTTCGCCCAGTCTCGGACATTGACTTGTCCGCACAAGCTGGACAAGAGGCAACCGCACTGCGTCGGAAATAAATAATTCAAGATTACCTTTATTATTATGGAATATTATTTGGAAATAATATTTAGCTTGGAAATTACAGAAATAATCGGTGAGAAATTTATAATTTCTCACAACCTTCCGGAGCTCATCAGTTTTGTATTGATGACTTGTGGCTTACCTATCTCTTTTGAATGAATCTTAGACAGTCGTTCAGTTTATTTGAGAAGAAGTGTGGATCTTGCGAGTAGAACAGGCTGATCAGCGTGAAGAGTGCTGGAGGTTTCTTCATGCCAGTGGATTCTCAGTGTTCTGTTCAGACACGTGAGTTGCTATCAATTGTGGAGTTTTTTATTCTCAGACACGTGTCTGAGTGGAGTTGATTCCGCAAGTGGTAGAGCTAACGGAGGCTGTTCAACCTGCCCATACAGAAGTGTTCATTCTTTATGATTTTGCCTTTGAAGATTGAATGAAAATTTCATTTGATATCCTGTCAATGCTCTAGAGATTTCTATCAAGTGGATTTCCCTTTGTGGATAATAATCTGAAGCGAATTTTTGATGAAAGTGCATTTTTTATTGAGGTGAATTTTTGATGCAGATGAATTTCTGCTGTAGGTGAATTTTGGGTGCAGATGAATTTTAGATGCAGGGTTCTTGATTTGGATAAAATTTTTATGTGCATGATTTTTGCTGTTGATGAATTTCTGCTGTGGATGAATTTTCGATGTAGGCGAATTTTCGATGTGGGTGAATTTTGTGTTGTAGTTCTGCTGAGCATGGATTGTCCATGCTGGGTCAGCTTTACTGATGGAGCACCATCCATTTGTCTTCGGTTCAAAGTTAGATAGTCATGTTCGTTGATTTTAATTCGTACTTGCAAATTATTTTTTTGCGAAAAAAATTATGAGCAGGGCATCAGTGAGGTTATTGATGTGTCGCCAGTATGCATCCTATGATCCAGCAAGTCCATCCTTTAATAATAAGCAAAGCCAAGAAAGGAGGCAGTAGGAGGCAGTAAGCTTCGCTCACGATCACGCTGATTTGAACGATGGCTGATAAGATCTGATCAGTCCGCCCGCCCTCCAGAGATCTTTGCAATTTTTTTTGCAATGATAATGATTTCCGAATTTGTGAATAACATCAGCATACTTTCACTTTGTAAGCAAGATTCCCATTTTTCTATAAGGAGCACCGACATCATCGCCTTTTCATTTCATTTTTTCATCATCGCCTTTTCATTCATTCAAGCACTGATACATTGCCTTTTCGAGGTTGGACGAGGTCCTGCCTCGTAGCAAATGCCAAATAGACTACTTACGGTACTGCGAAGCCGCTTGCTCTTTTGAGCATCAATAGTACATACACGTGTAAGATCGAACGTGTACTTTTTACAAGAACAATACTTTAATTGTAAAATTATAGGAGCGGGATTTTGGCTAACAATATTAGTAGCGGGTTTCACGAATATCAGGGCTGTGTTTTCCGAGTTTGTGCACCACTCAGGGTATTTTCTAACTCGAAGTAACTGTGATCGTTTGATTAATTACAAACCCAAAGTTAACTTCTGTGCGAGTTATTGAATTCCCTGATATTAATTCTTCATTATTGAAATGTCGATTAGGAAATTCACGTTTTGTTAACATTTCTTCCTATGATGGAGGTAAAGACAAGCGTATTTTGCATTCCTCATTCGAAAAATGTGAACTTTTCAACGAATCTCCAAATACTATTAATTCGGTATATCGATAACGAAACATACTTAGGAATCTTTACAGAAAACATCATTTTATGGCTTCAATAAAACTGGCTCAGTTTATCTCCAAGCATCTCATTTATTATGTATTTTATTTCTAGGTAAAAACCAAAATCCAGTTTAGAGACATCGTGAGGCATGTTGAAGAAGTTGCAACTGGCGCTGCGCCGGCGAGCTGTAGCCGCGCTGCTGTTGGTGGTTGCCTTGTATACGCTTCTGCTGCCCAGAGTTGATCTCCAGCGTCCGCTTTACGCATCAGGTCTGCAGAGTATTGCCTTGATATGCTGTTTGATGTGTGACCATGCAAATGTAACTTTGTCCTGATATAATGTAGCTTACTAAAACTGAATTCAATTAATTATGTGGTTATTCAGATATTACCACAGACTAATTGGAACAGGATAGAAGATGAGCATCAGGCTAGGAATGGTCATGTACAGCAAATAATTGTACAACTATTCACGAATCTCCCTATAAATAAAGTAGAAAAAATTACCAAGGTTATTTTGTACCTGGCAATCAAAAATAGTCAATTATGTGGAGAACAGTATCTATAGCGTATATGCTTCATTCAAGTATTATTTAAATGGAGCTGCAAGTCAAAGACTTTTTAGGAACGAAATAACGTGTTAATGATTGTGTCTATGTACATGTGATTGTGCCTATATACGTGTAATTCTTTCATCAGAATCACGCAATGAGCTGAAAACATCGGAGGAGTTGAAGATTCTGATTGTGGTGTGCGTCAGTGAGTATTGAACGCTCGTGCAATACTGAATCAAAGAATTCATCTTCAATAGTGTAGTCAGATTTATCAACCTTGTTTCAACTTGAAGCTAATTGACGTCGTATTTTCCTGTAATTGATATTGATACACTCAAGATTAAAGTAGACTCTGCTTATAAAAACAATTGTTATTGTGTTTTCATTCTGCTACTGATGCAGGACGGCATAAAATATACTCGTGTCCAAGTGATTAAAATTATGTAGAAATGAACGGTGATAAACTTATCAAATCAATCACGACTTATATTGCCCCAATTGTTTGCAACTGTGTTACAGTCCATAAAACTTAGAGAATCATTTCAAATTCATAGTATCAAAATATTTTGTATCATCAGAATTGTTCCAAATCTATGGACTACAAATTGTTCCGAACGATTCACGAATATAACTAGAGAAGACTGACGGAAAATTTACGAGTTGATCGATCTGCATGGCCTGAACATGAAATTTTCTTCATCAGGCGACTCAAAGGCTCTACTGGACTCATCTGACAGGCAGTTACAGCAAGCCAAAGTGTCCATGAAAGCGGCAGTTTTTCTGTCACGCCGGCGTATAAGGTAAGTCTGAGTGAAGTGAATGAGTTGCATCTTTCTCTTCAGCGTGTTTTGTCATTGACAACATTTAATTATACAATCATGATCGACGATATATGGACGAGTAACTCATTAAAAAATATCTTGTTGATAACTCTGTGCTGCACGAGCAAGGAACATTTCTTCAAACTTACATCACCTTATTTGCAGGATTTGTTATATTCATTGTTAATCTTTCCTTTGGAGCTAAGGAATCTCATTCTTTCACTTTATATAGTGCCAAAATTTGGAGTAAAACACTTATCGAGTCCCAATAATTGTACGGCGCTGACTCAGGGACGATTGAATGGTCCTCAGGTTCCTGGTCGTGAGCAACTCGCAAGCCATCTTCGACGAGCTCGTCGCTGCCACCGAGGCCTGGCCAACGGCCTACAGAGAGAAAACCTCGTTCCAGGTGAGGTTTTGTATTTCAATTCAACGTTATTTACCGTTGGTGAATAATTCATTTCAGTGCGCTCTCTTCACTACATTTAAACGTAAAAGATGAGAAAAAATATTGACAAACAGGTTTGATCCAGGTTTAATCAGGTTTAATTCTCCGTTCATATTTAGCAGTTCGCCTTGAGAAGCAACTGTATTGATGCCTTTTGTTAGACGAAACATACCAGCAAATTATCAAGTTATACCACTGCAACGGTAATGAAATACGGAGAAGCTGTAATGGACAAATTATATACATCATAACCGAACACTTGTGAGGACATGAGAGGCCTCTTCCGCCCCTGCGCGTCTCAGCGACTCTTCCTGCTGCGCCTGCTGCCGGAGGAGTCCGCCGTCCTCTACATGGACAGCGATGTCATCTTCCTGCGCCCGCCTGAAGAGCTCTGGCAAATTTTCAACGAGTTTGATGAGAAGCAGTTTGCCGCGGCTGCTGTCTATGTCGCTGGCTACCATTACTTACCAAAGGTGAATTAAATCAACATGTAGGAATAAGTATTTATGAATTATATATGGCAGATCTGGAATTCGCGTTATTTTGTGACAGCACAGAAACTTCTTGTTTTACACTGAAATCTTCGCACCTTGGTTTCCTTATTATGTGTTTCGGACGTAGCAGTCCCAGGCTGAACTAGCTGGAGCGACTCCTCTGCATTGCGACTCCTCATGCAACACGGATATAGAAGTTACATGACGTACGTCATTTATACGTATGCTGACGCTCATTTTGCATAACGCTACTCACAAATCAGAGCATCGGATATTGAAAAATATGCATATGATTCTGAACAAAAATGAAACGAGAGATTTATCTCGCACTTTAAATTTGAATACAAAATTTATTTTAAATATATAATATATAATTATTTTATCTTTTCACAACACACAGGACGTGCGGTACAGCGATGATGGATTTAACTCAGGTTTGATGTTGTATAACCTCACCCGCATGAGGCAGTTCCCGGCAGGCTGGGAGGACCAAGTGATCAACATCACTGCCGAGTACCGCAGTATATTCAAATTAGGTGATCAAGATATACTCAACATTTTCTTCGGCAAGGTAAAACTAAATAAAATAATATCTATTCGTAATTTAAAGCATCAAGTTTTATAACGTATGCCGATAGAAAGATTTCCATAGTTAACGACAATTGACCTACCGATATTGTGAATGAATTACGAGTGTGAGTTTATGTGTTATACTGATATCAATTATAGATCTATTACCGAAAAGATTGTACATTTGCCACTTGCCGAACATAAACATAAGTTTCCCAACATAAGTTGCCTATAATTAAGGCTTGACAATGCTCATGGAGCTGCAAAGCCTCCCTCCATTTCTACAATTTTGTTGTAGCTAGGCGCTGTTACGGGAGGGATGGGTGCAAGAAAATCCAATGAGTTATACAAATAAGTAGTAAATATGTATTTAAATATGTAAAGTGCGTGAACATTACTGGCATGCATTCTGGAAGTATTTCCGCCCTTTCACATTAATAAGTATGACGACACTTTCACTTGCATTCTTTACAGTTCAGGTCTCACTTTTATCCCTTGGGATGTGAATGGAACTTACGAAGTTTTTACTGCCAATCGAACTTCATTCGCCACTGCCCTGAAATGTTGAAGGCTGGTGCCAAGGCGGTTCACGGAACAGCGGCATCTTTTCATTTGCCAGGAAAATTCAAGGCGAGCTGAAGCATTGCATAAATCATTTGCATAAATGTTCAATGTATTTATGTGCATTAAAAGTATCCATTTGAAGTTTGATGATGTCAAATCGAGGAAATAAATAAATGTCAATTTGCGAATAATTTTGTCATGAATGAAATGGATAACAGCATCTCTGCACTTGGATTTATTGGGCAGTTTGCATCCAAAATGTAAATGGATTGGTACCTGGGAGAGGATCTATAGGCTGAAAATAAGCATCTTTACTTCCGTAATTGCACGCAAAGATACTGGGAGTCTGATGTTATGACTGTTTTTTGTATTGTTATAATTCAATATTTTATTTTAAATTTAAGGAGGCAGTGTGCCACGAATAAGCAATAATCAAAGGACGCTATTATTTGCACGTGCTTGACGACATATTTAAATAATTAACGCGTTTGTTTCAGATTTTTAAGACTTGCCAGTCAAACTTAGCATCATATTTATTATTATTTCAGGTATTCTATAAATCATGGGAGGCCCTGAACATGACGCAGTCCATTGCTGCGTTCCAGGCAGAACTGAAGAATAATGTGGCCGCTGTAAACCGAACAGACACATTTGGGTGTGTCGGACGGGATTACATCGACCGAATTCTCTCCCAGCAGCTAATTTATTATGAAAATATTAGCACGGACGTTAACACTATTATGCCTTAATAAACTTTGTATCTGAGGCTGGAAAGGATAAATGTTCTTAAACAAATTTAGTGAACTGAATTTAAGTAAATAAAAGAGTTATTATACTTATATAGTTTTGAATCACCTAGGTTCCTCTATCTTGTAAACAGCCTCGAGTAGATTTAATACCGTCAGCTGGGGTAATATTAGCTTTTTTGAGTGTAACATTGGCTCAAAATCAAAAGGGGTTTGTTGTGCTATATGGTGTGATTATTTATCGATGTTGTGCTATCGATATATTTATGGGTGATTAGTTATCGACCTAGTTCATGCGTCACTCGATAGTTAGTAACTTGATTGTTCAGGATGTTCGGGTTTAGTTCCATATTTTTCGACCACTCCAAGCCTGCTCCATTGTCAAAGTGAAAAAGTTGTGGAATTCGTTTACAGTTTACACTAAACTTTCACATTTGAACTATCGTTATCAAAGAGTTTAAAGGTAGGTGTGTTATAAGATTATATTGTCAATTTTTCAAGTATTTTTGGTGTATTAAGGCTGTTACATTTGTTAATTACTAGATATGCTATTTTATAATTTCATGACAGCTTTCGAAGAAGAAAAACTAAAAACTGAAACTCTATTCCAGATCGAGATAATGTTGAGAGGATATTAGAGTCTAATGTGCGAAGCTAAACCTTTTATTATCTGGAAGAAATATTACCAGAAAAAGTAATAGTAAGCATTTACCTGTTCACTGGCCAAATGATAAAGAAACACAAATTCAGTTGAAATCTGAAGACTTCGCTGTCACTAAATTCATGTTTGATAAATATAATGGACAGAAAAGCTGTGGCAAATTTCTCAGCTTATTTGAATTTGAGGCACTCGTCGAAAAAAAAAATTGTTGGACTAACGTTTTTGAACTTTGTATGAAAAATGACTTTTTTGTACCTTACAATCCAATTATTTTTACTGTAAGTGAGTTTTTGTATTTTTTACCGTTTTATGCACATTTTTGGTATAAAACAGGTGAAAAACAATGAATAAGGAAATTAATATAACTGGTAACTCTATCTAGTCTAACTCTATCCTCAGCAATACTCGTATATCCATAGATCTTTTTATGCTTTTTCTCCAGCTAATGCCATTGAAGGTAATTTTTGGCTCACACATTATGTATAAATAAATCCTTTTACTATTGCAAACTGATAAAGAGGTCTCAAAATGGTTAGGCGATTGGTAAGACGCGGAATGGACCTGCCAAAAAAATGTTAAAAAATGCACTACACTAACAGAAATGTAGTGCGGTACTCGGCAGTGATGTTGAGCGCTTGGTCTTCAGCCTGCCTGGAACTGCCTCTTTCGAGTGAGGTTAAGAGATATTAAACCTGCGTTGAACTCCATATTACTGTACCGTATGCCCTGCGTTTTGTAATCAATGTAGAAACAGATTTTAAACGTTGTCACGTCAGGATTGTTCTAAAATAAAATATTTTTCACTGAGACTAATTTATTAAAATTCAGTGTTTTTTTTTAGAATTCTGTAAGTGAGCCCCGAGAATATAATGCCATCCTTAATCTGAATTTACCGATAATTAAGTCCACGCCCGGGAAATGATCATTAGGTCCATGGATCATTGCGGCAAAATGCCGTTCGCGGAAAATTTCGAGAATTTGCCAGAGTTCTTCAGGCGGGCGCAGGAAGATGACATCGCTGTCCATGTAGAGGACGGCGGACTCCTCCGGCAGCAGGCGCAGTAGGAAGAGTCGCGCAGGGGCGGAAGAGGCTATTCATGTCATCTCAAATCTCAATAAAACTTTAATTATTGTTGAGAATTGGAAAAAAAATTAGGTATCCTTGAGAAATGACGGAACATTATTTTATTAGTTTCATTACTGGGAGCTGGTAAATTACGCCATGCAGTCACCAGATAGAAACCTTGGCGTCCACTCTCACTAAATATGGACTTCCAGAAAGCTGCCATCGGGAATTTTAAGTTTTTAATCGAATTTTTCGGCAATTGGCAGGAATTATGGGAAGATTAAAGAATATTTTATCACAAATGAAAAAAGTACAGAAACCGAAACAAAATTATTAGTCAAGAGAAACAAGATAGATAAAATCGTAGAAGCGTTGAAAATGCCGAAATCTTTGAAGCTATCAACAGATGTGCACGGGTCCATTTCTGTGAAGGAGCTTTGGGTCAAAAAATTGAAAGCCTGATTGAACTTAATTATTAAAACACGCGTTAATCGGTTGATTTAATCGTTTAATTGATCGTTTAGTAACTCTTTTAGGCTTCTATATAGCAAAACTTCTCAGTTAAAATGTTTGAGTCTATGGTCAGGATATTTAGAGCGCCTCTTTTGATAGATATCAGAGCTTGTTTCATGCAGCTATAGCAAAATATGATTAATTTGAGATGAGCAGATGTATGAAAAATTGTAATACTCTTTATCAGAGTTAAATTGCAAGGAAAACAAGTAGTAGAAACTTTTATTATTTAACGCTGAATTGTTTGCTGGTTCAAAGATTTCTCAATAATGATATTTACTTCAAATACCCCGGGGAAAGAATTCGTAAGAAATCTAATGCGGAGGTTATGGTATGTGTTTGTTCATGTTTCCAACGACATCAAAAGACGGAACTTTTCTATAAATACATTTTTTTAACTTGGTTCGTGAGCTCAGGTCCAGGACCTGATCCTATAGGTTGGCTGATCCACGGTCGCTATGATACGCAGCCTTCCGTCTCCGGCTTCACACTATCCTCGGCAGCTTAACTTATCTTAGATATTTTAACTCTTCCACAATCAGTCAAGAATAATGGGATCTGACACTCAAAAGTTAAATATTCGTCATGATGTTCTTGAATTTAATAGGCAGGAGAAATTTACCAAATTAATTCGATACTTATAAAGCGTTTTTCGTTCGAGATGAATATGCTATTCATTGGTATGTTACCTTGTCTAAAAAATCGAAGAAACAGAAGCAAAAAAATTCCTAGTTTTTGCAAAAATGGAAAAATTCTAAAAAATTTCAGACTATTAGCCCATCATCAAAAAGTGCAACGTGAAGCAGATTTAGCATCAGAAAAAATTTCATTTGGAACACACAAACGCCGAACATTTGTTGGCTAATTATTATTCCCGGAAATTAGTTGCTGCGAGAGAATTCGGTCGACGTACTCCCGCTCCCGACACTTGCGGACATCTTTTTGTGTTGCAGCGGCCAAATTTTTCCGCAATTCTGCCTGGAACCCAGCGAGGGGCTGCGTCATGTTCAGGGCCTCCCATGATTTGAAGAAAGCCTGGATGTAATAGAACATATGAAGCGTCTTACTCTATTTAACAGCAAATAAGAATAATATATTCATATAATTATTGCGATTTCTGGAAATGTTTTCGTAATTTCTTGGTGTACGATTTTTAATTACAACATCACAAGACACTAAGCTGGACAAAAAAGAAATTATGTTTAGTTTGCCAGATATCGAACTGTAATTTCATATTGTCTGGTCACTGTTTCTAGCAATGAAACTAGTACAATACTGTTGCTTCAGATCCCAAGGACGTTAATAAACCCTCTATAATTCTCAACAATAAAAATTACCGATTTATCGAAGCAAATACATAGTTAGAGTCTGCGAATTATAGTTTTTCGATAGCTCACCAATGTCTGACGCACGTTTTTCAGACACAGGCCGGAGTCCTTGTACATGAAAGCAGTGGCCTCATATGATATCCACTAAAAAATATTAATATGCTTTCAAAACCACTCTAGCAGACAACAAGTATTGACCCTTAAACCTAATTGCATTCCACTGATTGGTCATTTGACATGATTGCACTATTGCCATTTGACGTACTTTCTTCTGCAAATATTGCCTGCACTCCTGATTGAAACTCTCGATAATAAAATCAAAGTAAAATTTGATACATTGCTGATTTTTAATTCTTTATTAAGTTTCGATTATATGCCAAGTTTTGCAGACAATAGAGTATTGACTATATAATTATGTGTTTGATTTGTAGTGGAGTAAGGCTAATAATCACCATGAATTTGCCGGGGGTATAGAAAGACCCAGAAACACCATGCACTATCTTGCCACCAGCCCTCATCAGTGTAGGGCAGGTGTGTATGAAGTGCAGTTGACAGTACGCAGGTCGTAAGTTCCACTCACATCCTAGAGCATGAAAGTGAGACCTGAACTGTGGACAAAGAACATCTCGTGAGTGTCGTCGAACTTTGTAGAGGTAACATGAGCCCGTTCATAATATGTTCCAGGCCAAATATTATAAACATCGTTAATGTTTGACTTCAACGTCTGAAATTTCGATAAAAGGATCCGTGCTGTGATTATCAATTATGCTTGATTTACCGTAAAATGTCCAGGCAATGTTTTTTCAATTAAAGTAAACAGCACTACACTCATCTTCTGTAAGCTTAGACATCGTTCAACGTGCGCATAAAAGATCAGATGGGGATTTAATACCTTGGAGAAACAAACGAACTTTGAATTTCACCTTTCCGAAAAAGATGTTGAGTATATCTTGATCGCCGTACAGAAATATACTGCGGTACTCGGCCGTGATGTTGAGCACTTGGTCCTCCCAGCCTGCCGGGAACTGCCTCATGCGGGTGAGGTTATACAACATCAAACCCGCGTTGAACCCCACATCGCTGTAACGCACTTCCTGTGCGACGTGAAATAGATTATTATTCACCTTGTAAACGATTCTCAAGCTTCATTATATTTTAATAGCATTCATGGCCGAATTAAACTTATGCTTCAGAAGCAACGAGTGAAATGTGGCATTAGTATTTTATTTTACGGTATTCGCTATATTTTCATTACGCACATCCTATTATAGTTCGACAAAACGTTTTTTTTCTGGCTATAGAAAAATATTTATAGAGACTGCCTAGCCCGGCTAGTGACCTTATGTTATTAATTTCTTCTTCCACAGATTATCTATAATTTATCGCGAGATACTCGAATAGATTTCACCCCGATATGTTCCTTAAGGTTCATTCTTAAGTACAGGTTTCTTGATGGTTCTCCAAGTGGAACAACTAAAACTCTACATCAATTCACATTTTCTGTACGTAAACCTTCATGATAAAAACAGCTTTTTTCGGATGCATCATAAATATCAAATCTGAAAATCTTGCTCTTTCATTTCGCCCATGGTATGAGATTATATGGTTCCGAGAGCACAACCGTTGTAGATCCGACCTGTAGCAATTCTCATGTTCTTTTCAATGTTATTTATCTCACCTTTGGAATGTGATTGTAAGGTCCATTGATAGCTGCAGCTGCAGCAAATTGTTCCTCATTGAACTCATTGAAAATTTTCCAGAGTTCTTCAGGCGGGCGCAGGAAGATGACATCGCTGTCCATGTAGAGGACGGCGGACTCCTCCGGCAGCAGGCGCAGCAGGAAGAGTCGCTGAGACGCGCAGGGGCGGAAGAGGCCTCTCATGTCCTCGTGCTCCGGCGGGTACCACGAGGCCACGAACTGCAAGTGTTTAAACATGAAAAAGATAAATTATTCAATAGATTCTCTTGCATGTCAATTGTTTCTCTAAGGTGCAGCAGGATTTGCTAAATTAAATAATACTCAATAAAATTCTGGCAGTATTTGGCCGCTCTAATGGAACTGCGGGCGATAGGGACTTTTGAGCGTTCAAACCATCGCATCTGCTGATGTTCATTATTCGTCAGGATTTAGGTCTTGCCCATGAGCAGCAATGACTGGAAGGTCATTTGACTAAATTTTTGAAGATTCTTGCGAAATTGTATTAAAAAAAATTTCATAACAGGGAAGCTATGATGAATATTTTGTGAAGTCCGAACACTCAATAAGCTCGCCGATCGTTCAAATCCGATACACTGTCATCTTACCATGGTGACGAATCAGGCAAATCTAGCTAAAAAAAGGTGCTAATAACCACATTTAAATTGAAATGAGAAGAAAAAACGCTTTTCTAGGTTTCTAAGCGAATTTCGCCAACAGATTTTGTTCTAACCTGTGAACACCTTCACGTACGTTACCTAAGTTTCCATCCACTTCATTCTGCTATAAGCATGCACGTAAGTAACTGAATGTCTTCCATAGTTCATGGAATAAGTCTGTAGTATTTCTCGTGTATGGAACATCTGTGCAATATTTACGGAAGGATTTCATCTATAACATTTCACCAGATGAGAGCGGATACGCGATAATCAGACGCGGCGATCCATCGTGGCCTGGGACTGCTACGTCCGAAACAAATACCAAGGAAACCAGGGATACCAGATGTTAATCTACCACTGTTAAAACTACCACTGTAAAGAGCCTCTTTTCAAACTACAATTATTGCTAATTTTTAAATGTATATTCGTTTCGTGCTTTTTCAATACGTGCTAGCTTTTCCGACCATTAGCAGGATACATAATAATTAATGTCCTGGACTAAACCATTAATATTCAGTTCTGCAAAACCTGATACATAAATTTCCCGTAATATTTCTGAACGTTAACTGTTATTTGCATTTTTTTCGTACTTTCTTCCAACATTTTATACCGTATACGAGTATCTTTTTTAAAGTGTATCGAATACTCACGTTTCAGACTTTTATCATGTGAAGTCATAATATTATTTTTTCCGGATATACATTTTTATTAAATAGGGAGAATATCCGAAATGGGAACTTGGGGAACCTACATATTACAGAATTGCGGCAGCTCAATGAGAAAAAGCAGTTTTGCAACAAGTGGAATCGATATTGCCGAAACTCGCATAACTATGGGTTCTTAATTTTGGAACACGAAATCTCACCTGGAATGAGCTTCTCTCTCTGTTGGCCTTCGGCCAGGCCTCAGTGGATGCGACGAGCTCGGCAAAGATGGCTTGCGAGTCGCTCACGATAAGGAACCTGAGAATCAAATACATCATTCCATCTATAAGTGTTATACTTAGAGTTTTGAGACTAAAATTACTACATTAGAGGGGTCTAGAAAAATTTCCTCTTTCTTCAAATAAATTTGGAGATGAAATGATAAATTTCGAATTTATCAGAAATATGCAAATATTGTGTTGAAGTTGAGAAAATCTTCCACGTTGGCCCATACAATTCATTGCTGCAATCCGCGCTCAACTGTGTTGTGGCTTGTGGGATTTCGAACGTTCGCTTGATGCGGTAGGTTTACACAGGGGGACAACTGTTAAGATTACATAAAACTAATACTGATCGTCAGTGATTTTTTAACGTGAAAAGAGAAACTAATGTGTAGCTACTCATGAGACCTCACCTAATGCGCCGGTGAGATAGAAAAATTGCAGCTTTGATGGCCACCTTAGCTTGCTGTAGCTGCCGGTCCGTCGAGTCCAGCAGGGTCGTTGAGGAGCCTTTTAGAAATAATTTGATGTATTAGCGATCATCAACGATCGCACACAAAATTTTGGCGACATGAAATAAAGAATATTTTCTAAGATTTTATTTCTTTTAATTTCTCAGCATTATTGCATCGTTTGCCAACTATTACAGCAGAATAGAGCGTAATCTGGTTAGAACTTACAACTGGAACAGATTCCCTATATATAATTGTTGGAATTTCAACACAATATACAAAATTTTTTTTCCGTTTCCAGTCTACTTTACCCTACAACAAACACGCCTTCCTCTTTTTATAAAAAATGCTTTTAAATGTGAAATGAGAATGTCAACTACTAGAATAACACATTTAGCACGAGTAAAATGTATTCAACATTAAATGAATATTAATATTGATAAACGCTTGTATAATAATTGATGTGCGGACTCGATAGTTTACGAACATTCAATACTCACTGCTGCACACTACGAGCATAATCTTTAGCTCCTGCGAGATTTCCAGGTCTGTGCGTGATTCTGAAAGAAAATCACATTGAAGAATTTTCGTTATCATACAGGATTTCGATAACGATTTTATTAGTTAGAAATTTTCTATTGTAACTGACAAAAAAATTAAATTACTGTATTCATTCTCAAATATTTCTTAATTGATGCATTTTACAACATGGTCTGGCATTTTTTATGATTCAGCAGTGGGTCGACTGATGAACTAACCTAAATTAGTCTAATTAGTCTGTAAACTAACCCTCTGATATACGAACATCAAATGAATTAGAAATCTGGTGTGGCTGTACCAACAAAAACATATATATATACGTAGACAATCGTTTCCAGCTTCAGAAATTTTAATCTTTTCCAGCTTCATAAATAAAATATTGCCTAATTAAAGTATAGTTAAAGAGGTAAAGTCACAGAATTAATAATAATTTCGGCACTACCAGGCATAGAACAATGAATTGATGCTATACCGTGCAGGCTATCTGCGTATAGCTGACCCTGGAGATCAACCGTGAGCAGCAGAAGTGCTGACACCACAACTCCCAGCAGCAGCAGCAGCGTTTTTGCTCCCCGGCTGTACAGGCTCAGAGACACCAGTCTTATCATCATAAAGTAACACGATCCTTCAACAAGGAAATATTAATCTTATTTATCAAGACGTAGTAAGCAGGGCCTGTACAATTAAACAAAATTTTTAAACATTTGAAAACATTTACAACTCGATTTCTCTATCAGTTGCCATATTTTGGCATTCAATTGTGTATGAATTTTTTTATGTTATATGCAATTCGCACAATTATATAAATTCAATACAAATTTCATGATGAGTGGAAGAATAGTCTGTATAATATATAATTACAGTCAGGTCATAATAAGATTTGAAGTTCTAAAAAAAACTGACTTCCTTTTAACCAGGAACAGTTGCTACATAAAACCACGTATCCTGAGTACCACACAGTTGAATGTCACGTGGAAAAATCAACGCCAGAGCTGGGCGGAAATATTTTCTCCTCTCAGCAGTAGAATTAAATCATCCTTAGCCTTTCAAATATTATAAGCCTTTGAGAAAATGGATATGTTTCGGAAATTCCCACGAATTCATAACTAATTGCAATAATGACCTTTCTATATTACTCGATAATCTCTGTTTAATTTTTTATTGGTCAGTGAGAGTGAAGACACAAGTCACCCCTGACGAAATTTCTCGACTACTGGCGAAAGCTGAACTTTGTAATCTGGTGAACAACAGTTGTCCAAATATGAGCGGCGCAGGTGTTGTTTTCTTCTTATTTGGAAATTTGATGATTGCCAGATCGTACAAGTAATATCCGCACTCTATAAGTATCAATAACTATGTTCATCAATCATCTTGATTATCTTAGCATTTGGTTTAATGATTACCTTAGTATGTGGCCTATTTTTTCGGCCATTTTCAAGCTTTATACCCAGTTGACAATTTCTACTAAAGCCGACAGTGATTGGAGCTGTCATTTCCGCAATACTGCCATTCACTGCCGTCATCGCTCTTTAAGTGCCAGTTTGTTTGAGCTGTGCCAGTTTTCATTTTTGTTAATGAAGTTTTCCGTTTTTTTTAAATTTCTTTGGCAATCATTCAATTTGATTGCAATACTTGTAAAACTCTCTGAATTCTGGTTCTACGGCATTAACTTGTTAAAAAATACTGAAAGTTTTCGAATATTGAAAATAAATCTTAGGTCAGAGAATTCTTTTACAGGATTTAAATCCTAAATTGAGCACGAAAGTTCAATTTTATAAATAAAAAATTAGCGAGATAAGGTGATACAGGTTTGGTTTAAATTTCCAAGCAGTGAATGGCAGTAAAACCGCAAAACTTCCAATAAACTTTGGAAGGGACGTCGTTCGAGGGTTGACAGGTGTTTAAAATGTTAAAAAATTCAGTTTCTTTTTAGAAAAAGCACTAAGCACTAGAAAAAACTCATAAGGTAAATCAAAAGTTTCTGACATGAATATATCTACTCCAAAATATTTACCTATTTGATCAATTAATTCTGAAACGAAACACATGGAAAAGACTGGCCTGTTAACATGAAGAATATTATCCCCAACTCGCTTAAAACTTCATTCTTCAACGATTGTGATGTATTGTTAAGGTTGCGAACTGACGCGAGCTACTGGCATATTTTATGAGATAAAAAATCGTGTAATATCTATAAATATTTTATAATTAATTGGTAAACTCTCTAAACTTTGAGTTGTTTACATGGGAAAAAGAAGGGGGGGGGGGAATAGCCTCGTTAGGTGGTAATTTTTCAGGCTTTTTATTGAACTTCAAATTTTTAGCTGTCATTCGTATTTGAGAATTTTTTCGCCGTTCAAAATTTGTAGAGCATTAATTTGGGATTTTAAATATTTCATCATGTGATTTCTTAACACTTCAGGCGAGGAAAATCGTCTGCGTTAAGAAATTCACTGTGGATAAATAATTGCCGTGAAATCCAATTCATGTAAACTTAGTCCAACAAATAGGAGAAGCCTATTGTTCAGTATCCATTTAGATTCAACGCCGACGTTAGGGCGTGATTATTAAACGACTTTAATTTTTACAACACTTCTCTTTAACTTCACTTCTTGTTGTTTGCCTGTCTGCTACAAGTCTAATAAT